CCTTTGTCTATGACTTGAGACTATTGATCATTGTGTGTGAGAATGACGCATGACATGTACACACTTGCGTGAGATGGTCCCCAGGACCCATGCATATACCTACAGGCAGAAATATACCTACAGACAGAAGAACCTACCCACCGATCAATCCATAGGCTGACAGACTAAATGAGAAGCCGGAAGATGAACGACTGAAACACTGACCGACAAGAGAACCATGAACAAACACACAAACAAGCCCAGAGATAGGAACCAAGTGACCGACACACACACACACACACATGATCATTTTTATGTATGTTGTGTTTCTTCTTTGTATTTTTTGTGTCCCTAGCTGAGCACCCTCAAGCACTGCCAAACAGTCGGTCGTTCCTCGTTTGGAGTGGCTACAGCACTCTTAGGGGGCCCGCTCGGTTCGGGATGTCTGTGTTTCCTGCAGGTGATGACGGATGTTCGTCTAAGTGACTCCCTGGATCAACGGGTGGTCGCAACCAACACCCGTCTGCGGTGTTCAGTCGTAATGTGGGTAGGTGATGTGCAGCTTTGCTCCATGTTGGATGTGTGGACTGCCTCATCTGCGCTCCACCGCTGCCTTGTTGCGTGTCCCGCTTGCTTCGCATGTGGTTCTCTGCAAGCTGCTGTGTTCGCTGTGTGGTGTGGCCGTGTTGTTGGTGGTGCCTTGTGCTTCGCTGCCGCGCTGCCTTGCCGTCCTTCCGCTGCCTGTGTCTTCCGTGTCCTTTGCTTGCGCACACTGTAGTTTGGTTGCCTTGTTGGTGTTGCCTCGTGCTTCACCGCATGGTTGCTGTTCTGCTCATCCGCTCGGCCTGTCATCCCTTGCAGTGTTGCTTCCTTGGTGGTGTTGCCCTGTGCTTTACTATGTGGTTGCCGCGCCGCATGTCCTGTGTGCCGTGTCGTTCCTTTTTTGGCGTTGTGCAGCCACGTTGCCTCTACTGCGTTGCCTGGTGCTCTGCAGGGTTGCTGCCCGCTGCTATGTTCCACTTGGGGACAGTCTGCCTTCAACATGGGTCAAAGGGTTTATGACCCAAGCCATCAAATACGGAGATTCCGCAGATTGTAGAGGGTTCAGCCTCCTGACGAGTCGGTGCAACTCCGACGAAACAATCTCGTCATCATCAGCTTTTTTTTTTTTTCGGTCTTTGTTTCTTTTGGGACTTGTGTTTTTTGGGGGTGGGTTGTCTGTTTGGTGTGCTTGGATCTCGTCTGCCCTCCCGCCTCCCCCATGCCCTCCAGCCTATGGTTTTCTTCATGGATTTGACATTTTTTGAGACATGTTTTTTGGTTTACCTGTTTGGTCTGCCCTCCTGCCTCCCCCATGCCCTCCATCCTAAGTGGGATTCTATAAACTGGTCATTGTATGCCGTGGATGTATGTGACAGCTTCAGAAAAGTGAAGTGGCAGCAGAGAGCGTTAGTTTGGTCATGACCAGGGCCTGGTGTACCACTGTGGAATTTTTGGTGAGGTGCATGGGGAGTACGCCATGGATAATGATCTTTTAAGTTTTAACAGACACACACACACACAGTGTGTGCTTTAAGAAAATCCCAAATTCTCTCTCTCATTCCATCTACGAATCATCACAAAGCATCCATAAAACAAAAAAGGTTTAGATAGACAGTATAGTAGAAGATGCAAAGTTGGCCACGTTTGTGTGGTTGAGCACCAAATGCCCACACACCCGTCTTCCGTCAGAGCGGCACACTGGATGGAGGGAATAAGGCAACACACTTACCGAACGACAATCAGACCAAAACACACAAAAAAAAATGCACCATACCACAAAAGGCTCCACTAACAGGAAAGCACCAATGGTCTTAAAAAAATAGAGAGAGCCCTCTGAGTCGGTCTACAAAGCCACCATAAATCAAACAAACACCGCAGGACCTGTACACAACACCAAGAGTGCCAAGAACCTCCCCTGCTGCACAACATGCAGAATCAGACAATCTCAGAGTGCTACAGCAAGGCAACTGCGTGACTATGCCAAACTCCACAAGATCTCCACGTGTCACCAGGAGCACCACTGGTTAAAACACCCTAGAGGCTTCCCCTTTTCTTCCATGTGCTCCAAAAGAGCAACCCGTGGGAATGACGTGTGTGTGTGTGTGTGCGTGTGTGTGTGTGTGCATGTGTGCGTGTGCGTGTGCGTGTGTGTGTGCGTGCTTGTGTGCGTGGTTGTGGGTGTGTGTGCGTGCATGAGTGTGTGTTTTAGATTTTCCCCACAACAGCCCCAATTCCACCCAGGTGAATAGATTCAGAATCAAAGCAGTCTTTGTCCTATAGCATACAACGAGAGCATTTGAGATGTCCAACATATTAAAGCAATTTTATAATTAGACAGTTTTTTGGTTGTCCTTGGGGTACCCCTTTCATTGTTCTTGCAGCTCCCTTTTTACTGTGCCTCTTACGCACAAGGCTGCCCACGTTGATTGTGGTTGAGCGGCAGCTGCCCACATCCCCGTGTGCCTTCACGGCCCACTTGCACGTTRTTTCRGGAGGCAGAGTAAAAGGGRAGGTATGCTCCTGTGCATCTCGTCAGAGCTTCATACTCCTGTTCATTTCACTTCAGATCTTCAGCTTATACAGTCTTTGTGTCCATCCTTCATCTTCATACTTCCGTTCACTTCATTTCTGATCTTCATATCATCTATTCTCTTAATGATGCTCATTCGTATGCATTTGTTAGTAGTACAAAGGGAGTGGAGGGGAGGGTGGAGGGTAAGGGATAGAAGGCGGAGTTCTCTAGGAGTATGGGGCAGGGGAGGTAGGGCCAACGGGAAGGAAGAAATATGTGGAGGGCAGGACAGAGTATGACATGCAAAGAGCAGGGGAAAGGTGTATGACGGATTTCACAGATTTCTAAATATTCACCGCTGAAGCAGACTACTCAAAACATAAACAAAAAAAAACAAAAAACAAAAACACTAACTATGGCGAGTGGCCACCCCTACAGACCGGACAGGACCGGTTCGGGTGTGGGCTATGGAAGCACCGCATCCAATTTTCACAGTCACAGTTGCTGCATCGAATGGCACGGCGCAGACAGATGTCACAGGCTACGTGGCTCGTACATGCTAGGAGCACAGGGGCACATCGACCGCAATTATAGAGGCAATGCCGTTCCAGCCCCTGTCTACAAATTGGACATGACATCTCGGGTTGCCATAGATGAGTACAGTACTGACTGTCATCGTACGTATGGAAGCAAAAACTTTAAAACTCGCATGGACTATACCTTCATAATCCTCACGGCACAAGGCATGTGAACCACATGCTAGTTGAATCTCCGGCGGGTCATCACAAAACGGCATGGCGCATCTTTCTTGAGCTTCCTCAGTATGTATTCCTTCTCTATGGGCAGACGGCGACAGGGAGGATCGGTCCAACGCAAGGGCGTTCAGATGCTGCAGGATATGATCCGTAACAGCTCGCCCTGGTGGCGATAAACTATGAGCACATCGCTCTGCCGGTGGTTCATATAGAAGTCTATTTTCCTCCTCGGACTGCTGTGTTCGTCGTTCATCTGGCAAGAAAGAGGGAGATCCGTCAGCGGTTGCCATAGGTGTATGACCAATACCGCATGTGGGACATGCTAGGAGAGGATGTGGAGGGTGATGGCACCGGTAATTGTGTGTGTCTGTGTGTGTGTGTGTGTGCGTGTGCGTGCGTGTGTGCGTGTGCTCGCTCGCGCGCGCGCGCGCGCGTGTGTGTGTGTGTGTGTGTGTGTGTGTGTGTGTGTGTGTGTGTGTGTGTGTGTGTGTGTGTGTGTGTGTGTGTGTGTATCAAGCTGTCACCACGTCAACCCCCTTTCCACCTATATGAGTAGATCCAAACCCGAAACAGCTGTACCTCTATAGCAAACAAGATGAAGCAAAACTAAAACCATTATATTGCCTTTTGTTTGTGCAGTCCTTTCTTCGCTTTCCTTACTTCGGCTTTTTCCAGCTTTCTCTTTCACGTCTCCTTGCGTCCCCCTTTTTACTGTACCTCTCACGCACACGGCTCGCCACGTTGATTGTGGTTGGGCATGAGCTGCCCACATCGGCCCACTTGCTGACTATGAACAGGAGCCAGAGTAAAGGGGAATGTATACTCCTGTTCATTTCCAGCACACCTTCACCTTATATTTTATGTTCTCTCTCTCACACACACACACACACACATGCACACGCACACACACACACACACACACACACACACACAGAGAGAGAGAGAGAGAGAGAGAGAGAGAGAGAG